ATAGAGAGAGAGAGAGAGAGAGAGAGAGAGAGAGAGAGAGAGAGAGAGAGAGAGAGAGCAGTAAAAAAGGTTCAACTTAAATTAATAGAGAAAAATAAATTATTTGAACCTTTCACTTTGAAGGTGTAGCATGAAATAGTTGAAAATACTTATTCATGAATGTGGCATAAACAATTCAGACAAAGTTAACTTAAAAAGTTCGAAAAAAAAAAGAAGATTATACCATCATTGCCCATTCAACTTCTAATCTGCTTCCTTCACTGCCCGAAGAAGATGAGAAATACGGTAATGAAGCTTCAAATTTTGCTCAACTTGCTTCTTAATCTCCTTTGAAGCCTGAAGTTTCATAAGAACAGATAAAAGTTAGTGAGTTAAAGAGAGCAAATAAAATTAAGAGGTTTCAACCTTCTCTTGCTCGGATGCGAGTTCAGCTTGGGCTATTTCTAACTTTAACTGGAGGTCTTTAATAACAGATGACATTTGCTTGCTTTCAGCATTTGACTCTCCTGGAAGAACATTCATATAATCATTCAAACTGCAATAAAAAAATGCTTCAATTTAAAATTAATATAGAAACGTACCTTTTTTATTACCAAGCAATGCCTCCAACCTCATTATACGTTCCTTCAAAAAAAAAAACTTGTTAGGATGCTAGCTTGCAATCTAAATAATGCAGATAGAATGCTAATCTCAAATAGAGCTTACAAAGTGAAAATTCAAATCATCAACCAAAATACCAACACAAGCAAAGAGAAGAATATGATCCAATCCTTTCTAAGATTGTTGAAGTTAATGCCAATGAGGACCTAATGTTATGAACCGCCATGAAATTGTCCCAGCTGTGCAATTTTGAAATTAGCATCAACGCCTAAATGGATTGAGCCATTTGTTTTTTAATTACAGCTCTTGAAAAGATGCTAACTTAAACAGACATCTGCAATGGTTATCCATGCAACCTTCAGCCATAACAGAATTGATGAAGCCCAAACTGTATATAAGGACGTAACAAGTTATTGTCTTTAAGCAGGCCCAAAGTTATCATATTAAAGAAGCATAACAAAGATACTAGACTCTAAGGAAGCATTACATTATCCACTACATTTCTATGTTGCTTACCATTTTAGATTAATTAATAATGGGAATTGCAGCCAACACATGATCATGAACTTCATTTAAGCTTCTTTGGGCTGCCTTCTCTAGATATTAATGACCTTTCTTTATTAAATTTAAATGAGAATTTCACTCTTAACAGGACAAAATCAAGAGAAATGATTCATGTAGCCAACCCCACACAATGGGATAAAAGCTTGATGTTGTTGTTGGGGCTGCCTTCTCTAGGCATTAACCTAGTGTAATTTTCCACAGGTGAAGAGTCTCAAAGTTTTGATCCATAAACTTGTATCTTTTGATAGGCTGAAATTGACATGAAGTGATCTTTGGGATTAAAGCTCATCAAACATAAAAATAATTATGAATAATGTAATCGCCACATGCCTGATTTAAGCCATTCATGTCAATTGAAACCAAATAAATATGACTAAGTTGTTTTTGCGTGATCCTAGAATTATATTTGTGGAGTATCGTGTTCAGTAAAACCAACTCCAGTGACTTAAAAAAACACGTTTCAAACATGTTCTTAGAACCAATTCAAAGGTTCCATATGAAACCATAAAATCACATTCAACTTCACCTGCTAGTATCTTCGTTGCAAACAAATGGGCAAATGTCCTTCTGCACATGGCAACACCAACATCAAGAACAAGAAAATACTCCAAGGAACCATTGCAATGGCAGGACATAACTCAAATCATAAGAGTTCCTAAAGTTAATTCATCAAAGGTACAAGTAGTTTTTGGTTTTGTACTTTTGTCAGCCCAACTTATTCAGCACCTTCCTTTTGGTTGGCCATAATCCATGTTTACAAATTCAATTTCAAGTACCATTCAAATCTGGAAGTACAGATCATTGACAAATAAATTCAAGCATATTAATGTCAAGTTCACCATGTTTATCAGTAGGCACGTGTACTGCAAACAGATATATAGCATAACACAATCAGCAAAATTAAAAAGCTAAAAAGTAGGAAATGTAAGGGATAACAGGTATTCTCTAAACGCAAAACTATATACCCAAAAAAATAACTTTTCATATTAAACCCAAAATATGCTCTAGATTTTGAAACTTAAAATACTAGGATCAACACAATTGCAGTGATAGAGGCTTAACAATGGAGTTACCATAGAAGCAGCTAATTAGCTTGCTTGAAAAGTTAAGAGGACATAAAATCTACATTTTCCCCTTCAATTTCTAATTTCTACAGCCTTGACCTCAAATTGGGAAACCATTTTTTCCGGTTAGTGTAATACTAGAATAACAAGAAACACTACGTAAAAAAACCAATTCATGTAGGTTTTGAGAGTGATAGACCAAACAATTACATATCAAACATGTAGGAAATGATAAAAGTACAATCGCAACTTTGAGACAATGAAGTTGGTTTCAGTTCAAACCCACATGAGAGATGTTTAAGCTGTACCTGAGATAAAGTCACCAATGAAGTAGTGTGACTACATACCCAAGGTAGAAGATCAAGTTTCTATCATGTTTTCTATCATAGAATTTTGTTTCCATAAAGCCTTGCCTCGGTTGAACCCAAACTCAGAACCTGATTGCAAACAAGCTGTAGCCCTCTGCTTACACGTCCATGATCAAAACAACATTTCTAAAATTACTGTAATCTGACTCTTCAAACAGATGAAAATATGCATTTACACGCTATAATTCTACTACATAATTCTGTTCAACGCCAGAATTTAATACTCAAAAAAAGGTCTAACAATTAATCAAAAACATGATTGCAGACAACAAATAAATGCAAACCACATGCATTTCGGATACTCCATTGATATAACTAGATAGTTGCTACGAGTTATGCGAGGAGAGAGTAGCCAAGCCTACTTGGTCAGGAGATTTGAACTCAAAACATCACTCAATAACTAAGATCAGCAAAATTCCTCTTCTAGTTTCATCTCCTAAAAAAATCCAATAAACATTGTGCTAGACTGCTAGTGTGACCCTTTCCTCTGCAAAACAAGCTAGGGCAGCGCAACAACCAGATTTCCAACTCGAGAAGCGAAATAGAGAAGAAAAGGAAGAGGAAACCGTGACAGCATGAGAAACGAGAATAATTTCCATTCAAATAAGTCGAACCCTTCGAAGCAATACTTCCACCGATCCAATCGTCATTGGGGTACATATAAGGTGAGATACGATCGCTAACCTCAGCTTCAGAGGCCCTCTCATAGAAGGGCTTGAGCACCTCGTCCGTGTTCTTCGTTCTCAACTCCTCCGTCATCGAGGCAGTGTATCCGTTCCGGAAAACCTCGTGGAGCGCAGCGGCGATGTCCCGGCTTTTTGGAGTCCGGCGAGCAAAATATGAAGTCAAAGTTAAAATGGGTCGGATCTCGTCCGATCGTACGCGAGCCGTCTCATAAACCTGATCGTACGCGGTTTTAGAGTATAAATAATGTAATTTAAAATATTTTATAATTATGTGATTGAATGTGAACTAAATATATAAGATTTTTTTTATGTTTAATTTAAAATAAAAATAATGGCTAATCATGGCAGTGATAGGGTTGAAGAAAGCGGCTAGCTAGTGACAATGGTGATGACTAATGGTACTGGTTGTGGTGATCGACAATGACATCTGGTGGTGGCCAACGGTAAGAGCGATGAGCAGCCAATGGTGGTAGTGGCGGCTAACGGCTGACGACTGTAACAAGCAGCCAATGATAGTGGTGATGGCGATGACAGCCAGTAGTAAGGATGGTTGCAACTTGTTGTAGTTAGCGGCAAAGAATTTATGAGTGTTTGAAATTTTGATCAAATCAATTGATTTTTCAAATACTTGAAAAATGATTTAGATAAAGAATTTCAAATTCATCAAAAATTTATTGTATTATAAATGAGGCATATCAATGAACCAAATTTTCAAAATGCATGCATTTAATTTACTTTGCACCAATAATACAACAAATGAAACAAGTATGTGTTTAAAAAAAAGTAAACAATTTCAAATAAATTTGTTGTAAGAAATTTAGAATAGATTTTTTTTTTAATGAATTTAGAATCCATTTGAAATTAGTAAATTTTAAATTCATTGTTCTCATGTTTTTTTTTTTTTTTGTAATACTTAGACTAATTATGACAAATTTACATATCACATGCACAAGCTTCGAACTCAAAAGATCTTAATTGATAACCAAAGCTTCCAACCAATATATGAAGATGAGATGCGTCTCGTGTCCCATGTTGATTTCAGACCTCGCATCCCGTGTGTCTCCAACATCATGACCTCGCCAACCTAGCTGACTATCGTAATCCCATCATAATTGCCATCTTGCAACCACTTCGACCCGTGAACGTTGTTCACACCTTCTCATGTCCTCCATCGCCGATAACCCTCTCTCCACACCAACCATCCACGTCAATCTTGTCTAATCCGCCGTGCTCTAGATTATTTTTAAATAAAAAGTAAACGGAGACATTACAATAATATATTAATAAAAATTTACCTATTTGTTTATGCACAAGTTTAAATTTATTTTATTTTCAATCAAGCAAAAAATTTTCTATAACTGTTAGAATCAACAAAGTGATAAAACCCATTTTGTTCATGCCATATTCAGATTAAAGCTTGAGATACTTTCAACGACTTCTGTGTGCTAGCAAATTATGAGCTCTTACCTTATTGGTATAAAAGCTTGAGAGTTTTCCAGCTTCCTTTGCATGTTAAAAAGGTTCCTTTCTCATTTGTTTCTAATCCTTCACATCAACGGCTTTTTGTGCCCTGATAAATTATATAACAAAAATTCACTTGAACTCAACAATCCTTTTGTGCCCCGATAAAATTTATTTTATTTCTTATTTGATAAATTATTAAAAAATTCATGATCTTTTGCATATAAATTATAAACAAAAATTGATAAAAAAAAACTCACAAATAATTATTATTAATGAAATTATGAGGAGAAATGAGCATTCAAAATTCAAATCCAACAAAGGAATCAAATTCATGTTGGTGCACTTTGAGATTGGGAAAGCTCCGATATTGACATTAGTATGAACTAAGTGTTTGTTTGGGATAACTTTTTTATTGCCTTATGAAATAGTTTCTTAATATATATATTTTTATTTGAAATTTTTTAGTAATAAGCTGCTTTATAAAGCAGCAAGAAAACTGGTCCAAATGAAGCCTAAAACTATTTGCAAACAAGCTTTTTTTGCAGCCTTGGGATGGAATTTTTATTAGGTCAGGACACCTGACGTAGCACTACATCCGGACGCCAATAAAATGTCGTCGCGTGCTCTTACTCTTTACCGCGCGCCCGACAGCCCGGCCCAGATCGGAACCCGATATTGTTATGTATTAGCTGATTTATGCAGACCAGGGTATAGCTAGGTATTGATCGGTAACGAAAAATATCATTCTGTCAAGACTAATACCTAGCAATACCCCGGTTTTGCTAGGTATTGCTCGATATTGGTAGGTATTGCTCGGTCTTGGTCTTGAAAGAACGATATTTCTCGTATTGTCACAGCAATACCTAGCAATATTTAGCAATACCGAGCAATACTAGCAATACATGAACATAGTAATACCGGGTTCCGGTCTGGATCAGGTCGTGAGGCCGCACTGGTAAAGAGTAAGAGCACGTGACGAATTTTATTGACGTCCGGAATGTAAGCTACGTCAGGTGTCCTGACCTAAAATAAAAGTTCCTTGGGAAGAGATGAGTTTAAATTAGATTGATGCTTACCTGCTAATTTCCATAGCTAAAATTTGTATATATATATATATATATATAATAATATATATATATAATATATTTGAAATCAAATAAACTTTTTGAATCAATAAGAGTTAGATTGTGATGATCATAGATTTTTGTAAGGATAATTGTAGGATTGTTATAAGATATTATAAAATATTTTTTTTATAAAAAATTTTGAATTTTTGGTTTATTGTAACTGCCATCATTTAAATTCTAAGAAACTAGTAGCAAAAAAAGATTATAGTAACGCATGATTGAAAAGTAAAACAATTGAAAAAATTAACAAAAAATATAAATTAAGGTTTCTTTAAGACTATTTTTTATGCTTCTAAAATAAATTTAATAAAAAAATTAAAATTAAATTTTTTTATTTAAAACTCTAAACCTCTAAATTCATCCCAAATAAGCATAAATTCTGCATTCAATTGAGAGTATGAGGCATTTTTCTTTCTTTTTAAAAGTTACCAAGCACACAATACAATTTTATTAAACTATTTAATTTTTATCCAAATTCAAATTTGATTGTTCAAAAATACGATGTTTAAGTCAAATATAATTTGATTGGAAACAATCATTCAATTTTTTAAATATTGTATGATTTATGGATTTATTTATAAAAAATTAATTTTTTTTAAATATAATGAATATGATAAATATTTTTAAAAATTAAATATCAATTTTCTTACAATTATAATTTAAAAGATATATTAAGGTGATTAAAAAATAAAATAGTTAAAAAAGGTCCCAAATTGAGTTTCTTTTTGTTTTCTTTATCCAAAATTAGGGGTGTCAATTTTTGACACGACCCGAAACATGATTCGAACACGACATGAAAAAATCCGGGTTATGGTCAACCCGGACCCGAAACGGGTCCGGTTCGGGTGGACCCAACAATCCAAAATTGACCCGAAATGGATATGAAAACTCTTATTTGACCCGAAAAATCGAGATTGACTTGTTTTTTACCCAAAAAATGAAGATTGACCCGATTTTTGACCCGAAAACTAGCAATTTTGGGTCAACCCCGGATCATTCGTGTCGGGTCAGGTTGACCCGGACCCGAATCGGGTCGGTTCGGGTCTGAGAACTTGACCTATTTTTAAAAATGGGTCAGATTCAGGTTGACCCAAATAGTGCCGGATCAATTTCGAATTCGACCTAAATCCGACTTGTTGACCTGAATTGGCACCCCTACCCAAAACCGACCTTTGCCAGTTTGCCATGGCATCCAATCAGACATTCGGGTCGGGTCGGGTCGGGTCGTCGGCTCCCGCCTTGGCTACGTAGCTGGTAGTTCGCGACATATATAGGGCGGCCCTGTGGCCTGGGTTGCCCATTTCGCCGTTGCATCACTGCCCTCTCTTCTCCCTCTTCAAGCTCGCTGTACCGCCTGCAGGGCTTTTAGGGCAGCAATCAAGCGTCAAATATATCCACCCCATACTTCATTTCTCTTAAGGGGGGTTAGTGCCTGCGAGCCAGTCGACTAAATGATTGCATGAACTGTTTGATAACAATGGATACGAACTCTCCATTCATGATTTCGTGCAAGCCATTCTACATTCTGTAGCTTACTATGGACTTCGTCAAAAGAAGTTGGTAAATTTCGCAACGCCGTCGAACTTCTTCTGCTTATTTTGTCTAATTATTATCTCTCTAGAATTTTATCTCGCAATGTGCTTTCTTGATGCTATCAGTTCTTGAAGTAGATGAGAAATTTTTTCTTTTATTATTGTATGTCACTGTATCTTTGCTTGGCACCATATAATTTGCTAAATTGCTTCCTAGATTTTGTTGTGTGGTGGTTGGTTTCCCACATGCCAGGTTAAGGTTTTGACTTGTCAGAATAATCTGGCTGAGTTACTGGTTGCAAAACTTCTACTGTAAGTAAAATTTCATATGTTATCTCCTTGATTAGTCAGTTTATTGCTTTACCCGACAAAAAGATCTATTATTCAATAGTTATTTTGATGCAGCTTTTAATATAATTTAATTTCCCATATAGTCACTAATACCGAGTTATTTTGGATTTTGATTGAGGTAAATAATGATTAGCATGAGAAGCATCCTGGTGGAAGAAACCTTGCATGCTGGTTCTGCATTTTAAGCCCGTGATTGTTCTTTATGAGTCGCTCATCGAACAATTATTCATCTGTAGATGCGCTTGTAAAAGTGGAGAAAAATAATTTATCATGTAAGTCCTCATGCAATAGGAGAAATGTTGGTAGAATTCCATTAAATATGTTAAGCTATGAATCAACTCTAGTTATATAAGCGCATCTCTGGCAAAGTGGGTTACCATTATTAAGCCTAATAGTGAATAATAACATTTGCTGTTGGCTAATGGTCGAAACTTTTATACCTTGATTAGAGGGAGAAAAATAACACACTACTTCTTAGAAACTGACATTGCAGAGTCTCTAGTTGTAATTTAAGTCAATTATAGTGAATGTTCAATTGATTATGTATATTATTATGTATTAAAAGTAGAGACCCTCTCCCTTTAATGAGGAAAGCCCCCCACCACTCCACTAGCACCACCAACATCTTGTGCACACACCCAGCCACTAAAAACAAAGAATCCTAGAATCCTATTCCTATCAAATGCCCATGTAATTAGGCAAAGAATATACAACAACAAGAGCAACATTAAGCCTTTGTCCCATTACGTGAGGTCG